GATAACATACCTACCAACAACCTAATCTTGACTGTGGCCACACTAACCATTTACCTATTTCCGGATGCTTAAAATAATTCCAGAGTTTAAAATAAATTTGATTTAATTAATGTTTATCACACTCTCAATTTACGTTGTTACATAATTGTAAGTTTCGTTACACGCAAAATATCAATAACGATTAACGATGTTTAGTGTTCGTGCGATTGAAAGTCTCTCACATGCAACCGTCAATACCTTAAAATTTTGAGTGAAACACATTAGAGTTTTGCATTTTATTTGCAATCTTGGCTTTAAGGTTTTCTTATCTCATTAGTAATCACATATTTACTTAGTTGAGTAATTTTCTCTTTTACCGAGTGTTATAAGTGCTTGACTATTTAACCTCATGATATTTAAATACCTACATACTATTTACGCCAATACAAAAGCCTATTGCTGTAATAAAATAAAAAGACATGCTATCGAATTTTCCCAATTCCTTTTTGTACGTATTACGAACAAAGAATGGTATGGCATGACATGTCGACATTAAAGGGGTGGCACGGAGACTGCCGAGTGTCTGAAAATATAATTTGGCGGAGGGCAGGAATGAAATCATGTAATTTCTGCATACACTTTCCAAATGGTATCTTGTAAGATACCGAGAGGCTGGTAACTCTGCACCTGTGCTCGAGGCCAGCAAGATTGCCTTTGCCATCAGTTGGCAGTCAAATTAACGATAGTGGAACCCTGTAGGTCTGGGTATTTAATATCGGGTATATACGTGATGATTAGACCGCCAACCATTGAAGGCTATTGGGTCTAAATGGTTTTTACCATTGCTGCTCTTTACAATACCTACAGGGAAGTATTGGGATATGGGACATTGACCCAGAGCACAGAAGTCTTGTGACTAGTGTAGATGCTTAAGTAATAAATTTTTTATAGCTGTCGTTATCCGTTGCCTATTTTTAACTAAACGCAATTATTTTACAGAAATATTCGTAAAATAAAAATAACGAATGAAAATCTTTTCATTTATATACATTTTGGATGTGGTAGAGCCATGCTGCAGATATATTGTAGTTGCAGCACGAATGGGTCGGCTCGACCGGGGTAGGACCACGCTCTCACAGAATACCAACGTAGAATAGCAGCTTAATGCTGCTGTGTTTCGTATGGTGAGTGTAGAGAACCGGAAACCCTTTTCACTGGAAACAAGGCATTCCATCTCAGTCCTCAGGTTTGACAACGCATTTGAATTTTGATTCTTAACTGAAGATAAATGTAGATGTCTACGGGCCGCAGCATCCACTTCACCATCAGGTGGACTGTGTGCTCGTTTGTCACCATTATTCTATAAAAAGAAAGTAAATTATTTTTTACAACAATTTTTTCTGGCCAATTAGGTCTTAACGAGAAAAAAGGCTAACCGTAAACTTATGGATACAAATATTCGGTTTAGTACATTTTTCACATGTTCGTTACTTGAGATAAAACCAAACGCACCACTTTTTTAAATGTAAATTTCAAAAAGAAGATAACATGAATGACAGAAAGTAATTAACCCTTTTCCTTTGTAGAACTAATTTTTTTTTTGTTTTTGATGCCTAGGTGCTCTCGTTGTGTGTTTAGAGTCTCTAGGCCCTGTGACATAGCTAGGGGGAGGAAGGCAAAGCCTGAGGGGCAGATTATAGGGAGAGACATTTGGGGAATAAAAGTCAGTTCCCCTTAATTTTTAAAATAATGCCAGTTGAAAAATGGAAAACTTACAGCTGCCGAGTACTTTTAATTAAGTGCGAAAAAACTCGTCTTTGGTCTGCGGCGAAATGTAAAGGGCCACATAACAACGGGTAGCTTCGTCGCGATGGTCTTAAAGTTAGTTAAAGTTAAAGTTACAGCCTATATACGTCCCACTATATATGGGTCACATAACAGCGGTTTTTAGGGCAAGGAAGTGGTTTCGGATTTCTTATTTTTGAGACCCGGGTTTCTCGCGTATTGTGAAATTTACAGCTAGCGTTAACCATCTGAACTACCACGGCTATATAATATGTTATCAATGCGATAGCCGTAAGCCCGTAATATTATTTGCTTTTATTTTAATTCTTTCGAGTTCCATAATACCGGCTCCACCTCATTATTAAACTATAATATTTTGTCTTTATTTTAAACCATATTAAACACACACAGAATATACCTTTGAATAAAACTAAATTTACGGATTCTATCGCGTTTATTTAACTGATTTTACTTATTTTTAATTCCCTACGTTTCGGATGCTTTACAGCAACCATGGTCACGGGGGGACTGAGATGTTTGACGTCCCAATGTCACTGTTAGCCCGGCTACCTTCAGTTTTTGAATATTAATTTTTTTAGCGTTAAAAAATTAATATCGTAATCCCGAAACGTCGGGAATTAAAAATAAGTAAAATCAGTTAAATAAACGCGATAGAAAACGCGATAGAATCCGTAAATTTAGTTTTATGCAATGTGTAGTGTTCGCGTAAATTTAAGAAATCATAAAATCATATATCAAGATTATATACCTTATTTACACCTACACGTGCGCTAAGTCCGAAATCTGGGTGTTTGTTTCCTGTACTTATTATAATACTCTTTGGTGTTTATGCGCCTACTGCAGTGAGGCCGCGCAAGCGAAGTTCAGCGCAATTAATCATTTGATGTGCGAGAATTTAATGTATACCGGAGGGAAGTGTCTTCAGCTTTGCACCAAACGTCGAAGTCTTTGCGACGATTTGGCTAAATACGTCGCAATAACACTTAAAATTGAATTATGGGTATGAGTGCGCTGAGCAAAGTGGAGCGAAGTATGCTCGGCTACGCCCGAAGTGTTAAAGTCTCTGCAATGATTTGATTCTTGCAATGATTTGATACATCGCGATTATGCAAATGTTCGTGGTATCACGATTAGTGCCCATTGTATGAATTTGATAGCAATGGCAATTCGAAAACCAGTTAGTTCATATTATGTATAAGGATTTTAAATATTGTTTTACTCATGTTTAACTTAATTGACTACCTCGTTGTTTTAGTTATTGTAAGCGAGACTGTTGATCATATGGTTCCGGGTCGAACTCCCGTGTCGGGCTAAATCAGTTTCTGGATTTGTCTGTCAAGAAATTCCCAGTCTGGAGTAAGAAATTTGACGGTGTTTCAACCTCGTGAATCGGAAAGTACGTAAAGCCACAAAGGACTAATCTTCCTTCCTGGAATTTTCCTTTCCTTAATCTTCCGGTCCTGTCAGATTTTCGTCCCATTGTGCTGGTAAACACTCGAGCACTATAATCCTGTCCTATGTAGGTGGCTAGACTCCATTGAAAATGGCCACCGTAACAGAAATTTTGCCCTGGAGGATATTATTAATACAAAAATATATATATTTAACATTGGTGTCCTACTCTAGAATTCAGCCCGCAAATATCGTTTTTTATTTAGGTTCATATAATTCTGTTAATAAAACGCGAGTAACCCGGGTTCAATCCCCGCCGGCACCAATGAAATTGTTAGTTGCAATTTTAAGTGCTGATTTACCGCGTGCCCGGCGGTGAAGGAAAACATCGTGAGGAAACCTGCATGTCTGAGGAATAAGAAAAAATATATTTCGAAGACATGTGAAGTTCGCCAACACGCAATGGGGCTGCCCGGCGGACACTTCCTTGCCCTAAGCACCCTCTCAGAAATGCCTGTGCCCAGCAGTGGGACGTATATAGGCTGTAACTTAATTCTGTTGATCCTACTAAGAGCAATACAACCGACGGAAATGTCCGTCGTTCAAACAAATATGCAAATGAACAAAATATGCAGAATCATTAATCAATAACTTTTAAATGTCCTACATTTTTACTTGAAGTGGAGTTTTAGATCTGCATAAACTTCTTTTGTAACCATTGATGTAATTATTTACACATTTATGCATTATTATGTAGCACATGATGTTAACCTAGGTGGTATCAATCTTGGTGAGAGTTTTTGAATATTTTTAGTAGCTGTCACCTATGCAGGACATCTCTGTTTGTACATTATTTCGAGCGTATTTATTCGATCTTACACGTGTGACGACCTTTTTGCGATTGAGTCTACAATAGTCTTGAAACCAGTATCAGAGACTTTTGTTTCGAAGAGAGTCCAGACATTTGTAAATATTTGGTTTGATTGGGATTTAGAACCTGCGACGTAACCATGTACACAAATCAGTAGGCCACACGATTATACCACATACTGACCGATCTGGGAATTTTTAGTATAACACTCACAAATAATTTCAAAGTGGTACCATCTCAGGCTTGAGGATAACAGCCATCTGGCTGAGTTCGCAAAATTTTCTTGACCTCTGTCTTAGAAGATTCACCAAAGAAAAATTAAACATACAATTAAGTTTACAGTCTAAGGACTAAGAGTAATGTTATTAGAAATGTTTGGTTGTACGACCTGATGTTGCAATTCTTGGGATCTAATATTAGACAAAATCAATATTTATTCAATTAAAAATTAATAATTTTCAAAGCAGAACCCATTGTAATTATCCTTGTGTCTCTGACACAACATTTCCCAAGTCTTACCAGCATAAACGTTTCTTCAAGTGAAGGAAAGCAAAGACTTGGATGAAAGGCTACGATTTCTTTTCACATGCACCTGAAGCACCATGATATATTGCGTATGGGTTCATATTATTTAGGATTGTAACCACTAGAACCAACAACAAATATAGTTCTATAATGAGTTCTCACGCGTTGATGTCTTTTGTAAGAATAAACTAAGTAATATGCTTTAAAGTGAAGGCGATGATTAAATTATATAAATAAATGAATAAATCATGAGTAAATTTTCTAAACGGAGAATATAAAAGCATGATATACGTCTCATTATAGTGCAATTAATTAAATTATTAGTACATAAAACAGCACTATATTTACTTCACTATATTTTTATGGTACTTTAGGTATTATACAATTTTTTTAAGTTTTTAAAGATAATTTTAAATAATAAACTTACCGAAAACATTTTAAGGTGACTGTATAATCAGTGTAATAATTACATCCATACGTAGCACTACACTGAAGGAACGCGATCGCGAGAAATATTGGCGGACGCGATGTCAGCACGTTGGCCGCACGGTGTCTGCTACACGTCTAACCACACATTACTTTTTAGTACCAAGCGACGTCTGGCTCCCATAGAGCACGCATGTTGCACTCAACTCGTTTTCTCACCATACAAACATACTGCCCAACACACATGTCAAGTGGTACAAGTGCCAATTTCAAAATTTGAATCGACGGATTCAAATTCACATCACATATATAACAAAGTGTTGCGTTAAAACTTAAAGACGGACATCGGCTTTCCTCCGAAATATGCAATTTGTAATGCATTTTAATTATTATGAAAGCTTTGATAATCTTATTATGATTTTTGTTAACCACCAATAAACAAAAGGATCTTTCTTTGATATTTATTATAGCATAAAATATAAATGCTAGGTTAAATAGGACTGCTTATCTGATTAGACAAAACAAAGATCATGTTTAATGTCCATGTCATACCTATGCCGGTAGTTTTTAGGAGCACTAAGCTCGAAGTTGTTGAGTTGAGTACGTTTACCCGGGACAAATAGTCCGACTAGGTAAGTCTAACTTTGATAGAGAGGTCAATCGAAGGATTCAACTCGGCTGGGTAGCGTTCGGGAAATTACTACACATCTTTTCATCAGGTATATCTCAAACCCTGAAAACTAGATTGTACAACCAGTGCGTGTTGTCAGTAATGACTTATAGATCTGAAACGTGGTCCTTCATTGCTGGCCGTATGAGGACGCTCAAGGTCGCTCAGCGGGCTATGAAGAGGGCTATACTCGGGGTTTCTCTGTGTGCTAAACTTAGAAATGAGGATATCCGCAGTAGAACCAGAGTGACTGACATAGCCCAACAGATTCGTAAACAGAAGTGGCAATGGAATGCCATATAGCTCGAAGAACCGATAACCAATAGGAAAAAGAGGTTCTCGAGTGGCAGCCTCGTACCGCTAGTAATATAGAGCGACCCCCCACTAGATGGAGTGACGACCTGGTAAGACATTCAGGAAGTCGATGGATGCAGGTGGCTCAGGACCGTGCTTTGTGGCATTTTTTGGGGGAGGCTTATGTTCAGCAGTGGACTTGTGAGGGGCTGTAATGATAATGACAATGATGATCCGATTAGAAGTCCATCTGGGTAGTAATCACACGCTTACTTATTTCTGCCGCCGCATAGCAGTGCTTGCACTGCTGAGCCTTGGCCTGTTGGGCTATAACCATATTTATGATATAAAGATACCCATATCTATGATATAAAAAGCCAATCTCTCTTATCGATTAATCTATTTTAATCTATCTATCTTAGGTGACAATGCATCCTGTAGCCTTCTTTATTTGAAGTAGGATTCAGGTTTCCATGGACTCTAGTAGTCAGTTAACATTACGTGCACGAAACTTAAGTTCGTAAAAAAAAAGTTTTTGAGTTATTTTTTTTTGTCATCTAAATATATAAAAGTTCAAATTACGTTTTAAGATTAAAGATGCTTATTTAGTAACAAAATTAGTTATGAACTCATCTTACACACACATCGCCCTAAAGAAATTGCCCGTTGGCGGGCAGTGCTTGAAATATTTGGTAGCACTGAGCCAATAGCCACGTATTGATAAAACTGCCTCTGTCATTAGTACATGCATTTGAGATTCCACGTTTTTGACCAAAATTTTCTCCATTAATCAGTCGCCAGGTCTTGTTCGTAAATCCAAATCATATTGCACCACGTGTAGACTAAGTTTGAATAAATGATGCCAGAGTACTATTTATGTAAATTACTTAATAATAATAATAATAGTCTTTATTTGCATAAAACATGGTAATTATACAGATGTTTCAGAGTTTAATTATGCCCACATGTTTTGCTATTTTAATATAATATAGCATGCAAATTACATTTATATCAAGATAACCTCTATAGTATTAAAAATTAACAAATTAAATATGTTTATTTAAATTATAATTATGTTTTACAATGTCAAAATCTAGTTTAAAATATCAGAAATTCATTAATGTCATAAATACGAGTATTTTTGTCCAATGGTACAATCTTTTTTTAAATAAGTTCATATTATGTAGTGTTTTAATTTTATCAGGTATTTTGTTGTATATACGTACACACATTGATAAAGAGCATTTAATATATTTAGCTGACTTCGGAACTTTGCTTACAACTAATCTATTTGGATTTCTTTTAAGCCATTAAGCATCGATATAATCCTAATATCAGATGGCTTTTTAAATAAATATGTATGCTGTTTTACAAATTTACCTATCTCAAAAATATATAACGAGGGCATAGTTAGTAAAGACAGATTTTTGAATATTGGCTTACAGGATTCTCTAGTTGGGATACCACATATCGTCCTTATACACTTCTTTTGTGCGATAAATGCCCTACGCCAATCTATGCTATTACCCCATATTATTATACCATATCGAAGTATAGATTCAATATAAGCATAATAGGGCAATTACATTTTTTATGGTAAGTAGTGCATACACAAAACGATTAACTGTTTTGATATAGGTCATCTGTATGTATTTTCCAGTCTAAATTTCGATTTATAATTACACCAAGAAATTTAATTTGTTCTATTTCCTTAATTTTATTGATATTAAGACTAGAATTAGTTTTTATTTTATTAAAATGTATGTAATTTGATTTATCTAGGTTAATTCTCATATTGTTTGTATGCAGCCAATTAGTTATATTATAGATTGTATCATCTATTTCCTTTTCATGATTATGTAATGAATTACTGTTTTTTTAAGATGTTACAACTACGGAAATATCGTCCGCATGCGATACACATTTGTGATTTGTCTCCAGAGTTATATCATTTATGTATAAAAGAAATAATACCAGCCCTAAAACACTACCTTGAGGAACACCGTTTTTTTTCTCTGTACTTAGATAGATAAATATATATTTTTTTAGAGAAGGATATTATTTCATTTTTTACCATTTTATCAATAACGACACATTGCCGTCGATTTGATAAATAAGATGAAATCCACTGTAGAGCTATTCCTCTAATTCCAACCAAATCTAATTTACTTAAAAGAAAACTATGTGTGACAAAGTCAAAGGCTTTACTTAAATCAAAGATTAATCCTGTTGTTAGTAGGTTTATTATTTATGCTAGAAATTATTGTTTTTATAAGATTAAAAGTTGCTAGCGTTGTAGATTTCTTTTTCTGGAAGGCATATTGTTCTGTTTTGATTATGTTAAACCTCTCAGAAAATTCCATTAATCTCTTATAAAAACATTTCTCAAAAACTTTTGATATTATAGGTATAAGAGTAATCGGTCGATAATTGTTGATATCGTCTTTTTTACCTTTTTTGTACAATGGTTTTACAATTGAAATTTTTAAATTGTCGGGAAATTTTACTGTCAAAAATGATAAATTAATTAAATATAAGTCATAATGTCAACAAGTTCGCATACATAAGCTTTAATTATTCTGGTATTGATTCCGTCGTAACCTTACGAGGGGATCTCTTTACTCACCTCATCTTTCGACATGGGTTTAAGAAACTTTGAGTTTGATAGTGATATTGTATTTTTAGGTGTAATATTTTCCATGTTATCATTATTAGTTATAATGTAATAAGTTATGTCAATAAAATAGTTATTAAAAGCGGTTGCTATATCGTAAGGGTTCGTCAGGTTTTTATCATTTATTTTTAGCTCCTTAATATTATCCAATTTTGTATTTGAAATTTCTTTTTTTATTACGGACCATGTTGCCCTGCATTTATTTTTACTCTTACTTATAAATTTTATATTACAATTCTTCTTGGATTGGTAGATACATTTTTTCTATAAATAAGAATATTTTTTATAAGTATCCTTATTTATTTTAATTTTATTTTTATAATATCGAAACCGCAGTTCTCCTTTTGTTCTACAACTATTTTTAAAACTTTTACTAATCCAATTATTTTGATTACTATTTTGTATTAGTATTTTTATTCTTGTGAAACATAAGTTATAAAATAAGCAAAATAAATCATAAAAATTATTAAATGCAATGTTCAAGTCAGTTTTTAAATATGTTGCACACCGTGATAGATTATTTAGACATTCCTTGAATTTCCGAACATTACTTAAATTATAATCCCTTTTGTATTTAATACATATCTTATTTATTGATTTATTTTGTTGAACCTGGAAGCTTAATAGCTGAGCTGTATCATGGTCTGATAGAAACAAAGGTAATACTGTTGCAGAAGCATTCTCTATATTACTTAGAATATGGTTTATACATGTCTCCTTTCTAGTTGGAACATTAATATGAATTTTAAGACAGTAATTAAGACATAAATCACGAAGATAAGTGTTGGCTTTTCCTGGCTTAATAGCATTAATATTTAAATCACCAGCAATTACAAGTTTAGTATAGGGATTATTGTTTTTAAATATTTCACGTAACATTCCGTCTAACTTGTTCAAAAACACTACTTTTATCATCATCTATTGATTTCAGAAAATACTTTACAGGTTTAACATACCACGTGAGAAAATATCTTATAACTATGTAATAAAATAAATAGAACAATCAAAATTACAAAATATAAACAGAATGAAATAATAAGTTCTTGGGAGGCATTGCCTGCTAAATATTGCCTATTTGATGATACAGAACTCTAGGATAAGTCAGTTTACTCATACAGATCAGTCTTTCTTATCAGCAATATCCTCAGAATACTATTATGATCGCCTTGAAATCTGCTGAATAGGGACACAGTACTTATCTTTATTTTGTGATAGGAACGTATAATGCCGTAAAATGATCAGTACGCAAGAGCGTACGACGAAAGTTTGTAACGAATAAGAATTCGTTACAAACTTTCTGTTTCAATTATAATATTTGATGCCTCTTTGAAATCTCCATCTCCAAAAAATATGCCTAAAATCCTATTACATA